TGTGTGTGTGTGTGTGTGTGTGTGTGTGTGTGTGTGTGTGTGTGTGTGTGTGTGTGTGTGTGTGTGTGTGTGTGTGTGTGTGTGTNTGATATATATGTAAGTACGATTACCATGTGATATCATAATGTAAGGTACGATCATAATGTTGTATATAATGTTAAGTATTGATATACTGTGATTATATGTAAGGTACGATCATACTGTGTATATATATGTAAGATACGATTATATACAGTGGCTGATCCAGGGCTGAGGATAGACAGTATTTTTCAGATTTTAGAGCACATCCGTCAAAGAATGGCACCAACCCAGATGAGCGCCGTGAGGCGCGGAGCCATGGCGGGGGGTCTGTTGGGCTCCCCAAAAAATTTCACATTTAGGCGTTTCTGGCCACAAAAATGAGCAAATTTAGCACACTTATAGTCAGCAGCAATAGCTAATAAGGCTTATTCAGGAACAAGATCACACAGTGTGATGTGTTGTGTGTGGTGTGTGTGTGGTGTGTGTGTGTTTGTTGTGGTTTGTGGTGTGTGTGTGTCCGCGCACGCCGGGCGGCGTGCGGGTGCGTGCGTGCGTGCGTGCTGGGCGCACGGGTGTCTTGTGTATAACTGATGTTAAAGAATGCATCTACTCAAATTTCAAGGCGGCAAACATAAATTAGGCAAAAATACAATTATTTTAACATTGCACGTTTTGTACTTGCCTATATATTGTGCTTGATAGGTAAAAAATTTGGTCGGAATACGTTTATTCAAAGCTTTAGATACAACGTGAAAGTGTCGGTGCGAATGTTTTAAAAAGCGATTACTTTTTGCCGCTGTGCGGCGATGTTTTTACGTATCATCATCAATGAGCCGTAACAAGAACGCGCCATTATACGGAGACCGAGGCGAAAGCGTTTTTCGGATTGTGTTTTCGTTGAGCATGAAGTATAGACTTGATACATCTTGTTACAGTTTTATTTCCAAAGGCAGAGGGGGTGGGGGGGGGGGGATAACGTTTCAGTTGTTAAAGTGTAGTGATTTATTTACTGTGTGCATACACTGCATATAATGTAATGTATCATATATTATATGTAATAGCCATAATGTCGTGTTTGAAAAGAACGATCGGTTGAAATTTAATCACACGTCGTGCGAAGATTGAAGATTGAAGATTGAAAACAGTTTATTTGTGCATAAGACATACACAGTAGATATGTGCAAGCGGACACAGCGCTGGGAGGGGTGGGCGAGAGGGAAGATGAATTCGCTTATCTTCTCTACCGTGCAATTGAACAGTTGCGAAGCGGAATTCTATTAAAAAGATCTTGTTAGCTTGAAGACATAGATAGGTGGGAAAGTGAGTGAGAAAGATGTCAATGATAGGAGGTATTAATGAGATATGTCACATGCTTCAAACGCTCGAAAACTACGCTGTCATCGCTTGCAGCGTACGAAATAATGTCAACAATTAAGGCGGGAATTTCACAAGCTCCAAGCGCTGAAAGTCACGTTCTTATTGCTTGTAGTGTATGAAATAATGTCAACTATTAGGCGAGGGATGTAACAAGCTAAAAACTACGCTGTCATCGCTTGTAGAGCGCGAAACTAACGTCTCTGACTCACACATCGTCCCGCACACTCAAATAATAGCATGCCTCTACACATAATATAGTACTATGCACTACATATAGATCTCCCTCACTGGCTGCAGGATCATTGCCGCCCGCACACTCTACATCTAAATAATTATAAACACTGTGTTTCACATATAACCGCGTGGTGTTTATTATAATATAGGTAGGTATTATATAGTTATATATAGTATATATTAAACACGCGGACTATAATATTATTATATATATATATATTTATTTATTTATTTATTTATATCTTTATATATACTGTGAGAGTACAAGCGAGCAGTAATAACCATGCAGCCAGTAGTATAGCATGTTGGAAAGTAGAAAGCGTATCGCGACGCGAGGGCTCCCTAGTACCGCGACCGTTCCCTCTCTTCTCCTTCTTCTTCTTTTCCTTACTTCTTCTCCCTCTCTCCTCCTTCTCCTCCCTCTCGTCGTCCCGATGGCCAATCTCCGTCTCGCTCGCCCGGTTCTCTCTCGCTCTCGCTGCTCCGTCACGCCTCGCTCCGCCGCGCCCCCCGGCCTCCCCACCCTGACGTCACATAGCGACGGTGCGGAACAGCCCGCCACCCGGACGATGACGGAGAGAGCTCCCTTCGCAAGCCGTCCGCCCGGCCTGTGCTCCTGCGTGCGGGGTGGGGACGTTCATGATGGACGCGTCTTTAATGACGCGCGGGCTGGGTGTGCGCACACGATGATCACTGCCCGGGGAAAGAAACTTCGGTGTGGAGGGAGTGTGGGTGGTATCGTGTGTGTGTTGTGGTGTGTGGTTAGGTGTGTCGTGTTGTGGTGGTGTGTGGTGATGGTGGTGTGTGTGTGTGTGTGAGTGTGTGTGGTGTGTGTGCTGTGGTCGTGTGTGTGTGTGTGTGTGGTGTAGGTGTGTGTGTGTGTGTGTGTGTGGGGGTCGGTGTGTGTGTCGTGTGCGTGTGTGTGTATCGTGTCAGTGTGTGCTGTGTGTGTGCGTGTGTGGTGGTTGGTGTGCGTGTGTGTGTGTGTGTGTTGCGGTGGTGTGTGTGTGGTGATGTGGTGTGCGTGGTGTGTGTGTGTGTGTAGTGTGTGTGTGTGTGTGTGTGTGTGTGTGTGTGTGTGGTTGTTGTGTGTGGTGTGTGTGTGTGTGTGTGTGCGTGTGTGTGTGTGACTGTGTGTGTGTGTGTGTGTGTTGTGCGTGTGTCGTGTGTGTGTGTGCGTGTCGTGTGGTGTATGTGTGTGTGCTGTGGGCTGTAGTGTGTGTGTGTTGTGTGTGTGGTGTGTGTGTGTGGTGTGCGTGTGTGGTGTGCGTGTCGCGTGTGTGTGGGTGTGTGTGTTGTGTGTGTGGTGGTGTTGTGTGTGTGTGCGTGTGGTCGGTGTGTGTGTGTCGTGTGTGTAGTGGTGTGTGCGGTGTGTGGTGGGTGTGTGGGTGTGTGTTGTGGGTGTGTTGTGTGTGTGTGTGTGGGTGTGTGTGTGGAGGGGACGATGGTGTGTGTGTAGCGTGTGTTTGTGTGTGTGGAGGGGGTGTTCGGTGGGGGGACGTGTGTGAGTGTCTGTGGGGGCGGGGGGCGGCGCGCGGGGCGCGCCGGGCTGCGCCGTTGGTTGTGTGTGTGTGTGTGTAGTTGTGTGGTGTGTGTGTGTGGTGTGTGGAGAGGTGTAGGGGCGGCGCCGACTGCGCGCGATGTGCGTGTATGTATATGATGGTATGGTGATGCCGGTGTGTGGCGGGTGATGTGTGCTGTGTGCTGGGTGTGGTGTGTAGTGTGTGTTGGGTGCTGTGTGTGCGTGTGCGTGTGCGGTGTGCGGTGGTGTGCGGTGTGCGTGTGAGTGGGTGCTGCGTGTGGTGTAGCGTTGCTGCTGTGTGGTGTGTGTTGTGTGTGTGTGTGTGGTGTGTGGTGCGTGGTGCGTGTGCGTGTGCGGTGCTGCGTGTGGGGGCGTGTGCCGTGTGGTTGTGCGTGTGCGTGTGCGTGTGCGTGTGCTGTGCGTGTGCCGCGAGGCGTCTGTTTGGCCATTTATAGTGAATACGTCGGAATGAACAAAAAGCAAATATTTTTATTGTTAGAATTGTCAATGTTTGCTTCTGAATACATTATGCTAAATATTATGTGCACAATATTTATTTAATCCGCGGTCGCATATCATATTCAAATTGGTATACGTCATTTGTAGTCTCAAAATCGTGAGTAAATACAAGTTTGAGACACACGCTCTGGCGCGCAGAGCAGAGAGCCGCAGAAGAGAGAGAGTAGAGAAGAGAGAGAGAGGAGAGGACGAGAGAGGAGAGAGAAGAGAGACGGAGAGAGAGGAGAGGAGAGAGAGACGGCGGGGGCGGGGGGGGGAGCTGGTAGTGAAGACGACGAGGGGAGAGAGAGGATGCGACAGACTCGATAGTCACATCCACAGGTATAGGCTAAACCAGAGATATACGCACGGCAATCCGACATGACGCCATCCGCTACGCATCACGCATTCACGCATCACGCCATGCGACGCCGATCAATGCACGCGAATTCACGCATCACGATCAGCACACGCATCACGATCACGCATCACGCATCACGTTACGTACACATCACGCATGCACTCATCACGCATTTCACGCATCACGCATCACGCATCACGCATCACGCATCACGCATCACGCATCACGCATCACGCATCCGCTCACGCATAACGCGATCTAGCAGCGTCACGGCACTGAATCTGTGCAATTGCTCGCGAACGACAGCAGCCGCGAAATCACGCATCCTAGCTCGTCATTGCCACGTAATATTATTGTTCAAACACGCCTACATGCATTATATTTATTGTCCAATTATAACACTATGTGTTCTATGCGCGGTTATCGTGTGGACTCGCGCGGCAGAAGCTCTACTGATCAAACTTCCATGCCAATTCTAACAAACTCTCCGTGTTTGCGCGGCAACACAGTTGATTATGATGGCAGGACGTCCTCAGAATTAACCATGTCGCTGTGCAAATATGGGCCTTACCTATGTGATCGTTGTTATGACGACCGGGATTACATCTATTGCAACATGTTCTGCTTGCATCTTGACAAATACGACTACGTTAGCGCTCTCCTATGTTGACACTATAATGTTTCGTATAGGGAAGATCTTTTCTCCTGACATATATTTATATGGCGCGTTATATGGTATGTCGTATTTGTCTAGGGATGCTAGCGCAACAGGACTGATCTGATCGGCTATATTTATCAAGGGCTTAATACCGTTAAAGCTGTTGATATGGTATTATTAGTCTTGGATTTTATCATAGAAAGAGTGTAATTATCGTTGTGCAGGATGGTCATAAAATATCCTGTCGCTAGCCTATTCGTGTGCAGTGTTTTCATACTGTTAGTACGCGTTGTGATTTTATGTATATCTTCTCCCGATCCGTTCTTAACTCAATCTTTCCTCTTTCCTGTCGGCGCTCGTTCTCGCGCGACTCCCCCTATCTTCTCTCGCGCACGCGCTGTCTTTCCTCTCGTCTCCTGCTCTTCTCTCTCTCTTCTCATCTTCTCAGCTCTCTTTTTATTTCTCTCTCTTTTCTTCTCTCTCTCTCTTTCTCTCTCTCTCTCTCTTTATTCTCTCTCTCTCTCTCTCTCTCTCTCCTTCTCTCTCTCTCTCTCGCTCTTTTTTCTCTCTGTTTGTCTCCTTCACTCTCGTTTGCGCGCTCTCTCTTTCTCTCTCTCTCTTTCTCTCCCCCCTCTCTCTCTCTTTCTCTCTCGTTCGCGCGCGCGCGCTTTCTCTCTCTCCCTCTTTCTATCTCGGTCACTCGCTTGATCTCTCTCCCCCTCTTTCCCTCGCCCTCTCCCTCCCCGCGTTCTTACCTCTGGCCACCTTCGAAGCTTTGTCCAGAATCCCGAACACCGTCTCATCGTACGTACCCTGCGCGCGCGCCGCCGCGCTGTCGAATGGGTATCGCGCCGTAGGGTAGAAGGCGGCGTCGAGGCGCGCGTACACGTTGCCGCCGACGATGCGGCTCCACGCGTGGGACGCGTCGTAGACGACCGCCGTGTGTCGCCAGCCGAAGAATCGCAGCGCGTTCGCGTAGAATAGGGTCAGCGTGTTGAGGTTGTACGGCGACACGCGCGTCAGCGTCGCGAAGACGCGCTTGTCGCCGAGCACCGAACTCGTGCCGACGCTGGTGATGACGGGCAGGTTCCAGCGCGCCGCCATGCGGCCGAGGTGCGCCAGCGCGAAGCTGCAGCCGGGGCCGACGAAGACGGCGATGCGCTGTCGGCAGTGCGCGTCGGCGGCGATGGCGCCGACGCGGTCGGCGTTGCAGAGCGGCGGTGGGTCCTCCTCGATGAACTCGTGACGCAGCGTGACGGAGGCGTTGACGAAGCCGCGAGCGCGCTCGACGCCGAGGACGATGGCGGCGCCCGAGCGACCGATGTCGTACGGCAGGCTGCCGTAGCGCTGCAGGATTGACACCATGAGGATGTCGTATCCCGTGGCAACGTGCAGCAGCAGCAGCGGAAGCAGCGGTAAAAGCGCGGCGCGTAGGAGACGCATGGCGTGATCAAGAATAGAGGGTTCACCGGGATCGGTATGAAGAATAACAGCACTGCCGACGCGTTTTCTTTTGCGCATGAGCACCGGTCACGAGAGACACGTCAAGTGACGACCGTCGGCGCGTACGTCACGTGCCGACCGTGGATGTCGCGCATGCGCAATGGCGAAAGAAAGGAAGGAATTGAATCCAGTGGGAATTGATTCTTAGCATAAACTCGCTGACACATCATTACTTGTCTGCACAATTGCTTAGTATGTGCAGTGGTATTAGCTGCTGGTTGCTTGCCTCTCGCAATTATACTCGTCTGCGCGTTTCACCTATTCTCGTCTGCCGTATTTAATTACTGCCACTACGTGACGCTCGAGTGTGATTTTTTTTTATCTCTCTCTCTCTCTCTCTCTCTCTCTCTCTCTCTCTCTCTCTCTCTCTCTCTCTCTCTCTCTCTCTCTCTCTCTCTCTCTCTCTCTCTCTCTCTCTCTCTCTCTCTCTCTCTCTCTCTCTACTACTACTACTCTCTACTACTACTACGTACTACTACTACTACTACTACGTACGTACTACTACTACTACTACGTA